TGACGCCGTTGACGACGTTGACGCCGTTGAAGCCGTTGACGCCGCGCTGCGGCCATCAATGAGTGTTTAGGTATTGGGGCTTAGGACCTGGAAGAATGTATGCTTCACCTGTGATATTACATAAATTCCCTTGGATGAAAAATGCATATTAGATGGGGAAGTTCATGGCAAACATCACTTTACTGGATTACGCAAGAAGTGCGAGGTTGAAGCCGGCCAAGCGATGGACACAGCTTTGCACCCTGACAAGCCAGACGCCTGCAACTCTCGTCAAGTCTTGCGCTCTAAGTAGACAATGAGTTTTGCGTACCTGAACCCTCCTGTACAATAAGAACCGGCGGAACCCTGGAACCGAACCGTCTCGAACTGGCCAAAGGTTCACAAAGGGTCAGGTTCCTGACAAACCGAATCGAGTGCAACCGTGGCCTTAGCCGTAAGCAAAAGGCAAGACTGCAACACAAAGTAACACAGAGTTTATGTTCTTGAGTCATGAGGCAAGCATAGGGGGTCTCGTCTGAATCCTGCCAAGACTTTTTTGCCGTCTCCATGCTCCGGCTTGATTTTTTGGCTGCATTTCCCGTGGAGTCACAAGGTCTCGCTCTTCGGTTCAGCAGCCAGTGTCTGGGGCTGCAACAGATTTGGCAACGCAATGGTCGCAGTCGCAGTATCCTGCATCTTCCTCCGGCTTGGCGTTGAAGACTTCAACGGGGCGCACGGCCAACGCATGAAACAGCCCAAGCGGCAACCGCCCGACAACTGCGGCAAGATCCAGTGCGTCCTCATTAAACTACGGAACGACTCCCTGGACCCCGAACAGGCGCGCCCAATGACTGGTAAATGAAATTTCCTGAGTGGTCAACTCTTCGGCCAAGAAGGCAGGATCCCATTCAAGGCCATCTGCACACGAGCACATCGTCACCAACAGATGCTCGATATGCTCACCTGCGCAGAGTTGCTTCCAGGATAACTCCCCGATAATTTCCGGAGTCGTACAAGTTGCGAGCTAGGCTCCGCAGCACTACGAACGGGGCTGGTCGCAGGCTCGACAAGGGTTCACAACTTTCTTGGGTAGTGGAGACTTGTCGATCCAGAAGCCGCTGCTGGACTTGGCCAGAAAATGGCGTACGCACAGAAAGGTACAAAGGCCAGGGCAAACAAAACAGCCAGCACAACTGCGGGAAGGGGTCGAGTATGCGTTGTTTTAAAGGGGGTCGAATGAGCGTTTTTGGATCCGTTTTTGGGTTGTTTTCTATGGCTTCATGGAGAGGACACCAAATCTTACACTTTAAAGACCCCTAAAGTCTAAATTTCAGAGAGCGCTAAACCCGAAAGAGCCCCCAACCCTGAACCACGAACGAAAAAAAATCTACGCCCAAGCCCTGCCAGACCGCCAAACTCTGAAGAATCCGAAGCCTTAAAGAACCCCAAAGCTTACGCCCGAAGCCCTACAACAACAGTAGCCCTAGTTGAACTAGACTTCACCCAATGTTTGCTGGCCCTCCCCCCCAACCCATCTCAAGAGCACGCAGCGCTGGTGAGCTCAAAGCACCCGCTTTGCGGTTGCCACGCACCATCTGCTGATCAACGTCAACGTCGATGCTGCGTCGAGACATCCGCAATTGTTTATGATCTGCGCAGGTCTGTAGCATGTAGGCACCCAGATTGCGGGCGGAAGCAGGAAGCACGAAATTCGACGAGAACGGGCGTTGGAGCGCCTGCTACTACTTGCTCTTCAAATTGATCTTGACGCACACCTTGCCTACTATGCTAAGGAGATGTTTTGCTGAAAGTGCAACCGTGGAAATATGAAAGGCCCAGAAGTCCAAAATCAGAATTAAGAAATTGAGGGGCCCAATTTCTACAAAGAGTTGTGGGCCTTTGGTTTTCAACTCCTCTTCAAGATTCAATGAGAAATGCGGGTGCCCTCGACAAGGCTTTTGCCACAATATTGCGTGCCTTATAGAGAAGAAATCCAGGGTTTCCTACTTTTGGCAAAATTCTTTCCTCAGAGCTGCGCGGTGATCGCTTTTTCCAAAAGTGCGAAGGCTTGTGACTTGTATGACTTGTCGGTCGGGGTGCAGTGATTCTTGTGGAAGATAACATCCTTGGAGAGACCGCTGGACCCAACTCCCAGGTGTGCTATTGCTCCAGTGCAGGGTACAATCACGTCGCTCTCCAGCCAGCGCATACCATTTGAAAACGACGACAGTTGCGAGGATCGCGGCGTCGTCCTACCCGATCTTGCGCACATCGCGCACGCGCGCTTTCCGACTACGATGACAGTCACAGCTCTCGCAGTGCTTGTGAGCTGTGAGTGTAGGTTCGAGACGTCAAGTGAATTCAGAATTTGGGTGTTTGAGAAGCTTGGATGGGTCTGATCGTTTGATCTTGGACTACAAGTGGCATAAGTGGCATCCTGGTCGAATCCAGGTTTCAAGTTCGGTCCATTGACAACAGTCCGACCCTTGCAAGGATCCAGCGCAAGGCAAGAGGCAAGAGGCAAGCGTCCAAAAGTAACGATCATTGCCAAGGACAAGGATGGCGAACTGCGAACGCACCTTTGAGTGAGTTCTTAATAATAGTAAAAAGGCGTGCAACCTTCAGATACGATTCGAGCGCACTTTCGATGCGCTGCCGTGACGCATGTATCATGCTGGAAGGTCGCTGCAACTTGATCCAGCATGCACTGGCTAAGATGATCGATTAGCCACGGCCCAGGGCCAGCACAGAGTTGAAAATCCAAGAAACACTGACGCAGATCAAAACCTCTTGGATGTCCACTTATTTGTGGCTCAAACCCATGTTTTATCACGGCCCTTGCCTGCACTGACTCCATGACATGTGGGCATCGCTTCACATACTGAAGAAAAGCTGCTGACAGCTCCAGCGTTCTTGCCTTGCAGCGCATGCAATGAGGGCTGTCGGTATGAGGCATAATCGTAAAAATCGAAGCATGTGTGTTAGACAATCCCCTTGGATTATTGGGCCTCCTCATGGGCAGCTTCAGCTGCATCCATGGCTTCTCTTCGATCTAGCAGCTCCAAGGGACATGAAAGCAGCAAATTGGCAAGTAGGTGTTTCGTGCAGTTGTGAGAGATGGAGCGCGGTCAGGAAGGGAACCTCACCCTCGCAATCCTGACATTGTGCGCAGAACCTGCTTCAGTCTTGGCCATGCTGTTTAGGTTTTTTGTCATGTGTGCTGGAGACCTATACTCTTGCATTCTGATATATGGCCGGTCTTGAGCGTCATTGCGGGATCGATGATTGTCGAGCCGTGCCCGCATTCTATGGGTACAGCCGCGCCTCCCGCTGAGCCTCATGAGAGCTTGCACCTAGCAGAAAGGTCGGTAGCAACAAGCGACAAGGTTGAGTCATGCCGGTCATGCGGCAGCAGACGACAAAAAATGGCAGGGCTACCAGAGCAGTGTGGAGGCCGTTTGCAGATACCAGCAGGGACGGAACTTGGGTTCGCTGCACCTCAGCCCGTGCGTCCTTTTTTGCAAATTTGAACGGTCATGGCTGATGGCACAAGTCCCACGCGTCATCTTCCACAACCGCCCTGCATCGTGGAGGGTTGCTATTGGAAGTTGTCCAAAGCTTGTGTTCGGAGAGGACAGCCGTGCAGGTCCAAAATTCGAAAATGGACCTCAAAATCCAATGCTTACATGCAGAGATTCATGAAGACATGACCAGGCATGGTTCTAGTCTTATGGATAGTCATTGCAAGGGGGGGCTTTTGGAAACAAGGTCACAGTGCAAAGAAACTGAAGCTGTAAAACTTTCTTGTAGCCCTGGCAGCACATTGAGGTGTATTCAATTGGAAAAACTCTGTTGATGTTAATGTTCAGGGCCTAGCCAACTGCCCAGCTGTGTCGCCAATTGGGGCTGCCTCGGGGAGTCACCCATTAAGCGAAACAGCACCAAAGGCCACGTGCCGCGCGCACCACGCGGAGCGCCCGCAGCAGCAGTTCTTGCCTCTCTCCACCTGCAAGATGTCCCATGGCTGCTCTGCAGCCTACGATACCAAAACTGCAACAAATATAACATCTACATTCCAGAGCATCATACTGCTGGTTTCATGCTCATACTGGACAAACTAGTTAATCAACCTGGTCTGAAGCTTGTGCCTCTACAGGCTCGCTGCTTGCAGGTCTTAGGGAGGGAGTTGATGCTGGGAGCCTGATGAAAAGTTCTGGGCATACTCAAAATACGCAAGCATCCTCATGCCGTTTCGCGGCTATAACAGCACCCAACAATCCATCAGCCCGGAGTTTCACACGTCAACCACCGCAGCGTGTAAATGTTTGCATCATCCTGTTTGGTAGCGCCTGCCGCACAGATCCAAATCTGCCAGGCACTCCGATGGCAGTTTATCTGTGCGGCTTCTGCATCTGCCGTCTGCCGGCTTGGTTTGGGAAAGGACGTAATGAAAATCATGGCCTGCCACGACGCTTGTTCACCTCCTGGGGCGGAAGACAGGCAGGGTGCTTGCGGAGCTTCCGGCCCCCCTCTTGCTCTGCTTCCGCATTGGCCTGGATCTGCCGCTGCACAAGCCATCTCTGTACGCTCGCTGGTGCGTGACCGGCCAGTAGTCCAGGCCCGAAGTGCTGCATCCACAACATCTTTTATTTTCATGTCGTGAGGCCTGAGGGAGCTTGTGCGTGCATTTGCAGACCCAAAGGAAGATCCAGTATGATCCAGTACTCCGAAGGGTGCGCCGCATGGAAAGATGTTGGGATCAATCCAAGAAGAATGCAAGTGTAAAATCCTAGCCTAGAGGGCTGCAGCAAGCACAGAGTGAACAAAACCTCCAACTCTGATCACCCAAACCCATCAAACCCGTTCAAACCCAGGTTGACAATGCAAATGCAAATGCTACATACGCTGAAAGACTGCAGCAGACTGCATCCAGTTTGTGTCAGGACGAGCCTGGGCATGAGCTCAGCAGCGCCAGTAGTACACCCCAGGGTTTGGCAGGGCCCCCGCATGATTCAGCACCTAACATGTGGGCACCAAAACGAACCAAGTAGCCTCAAGTTCTTGAAATACTTTCTGAGGCTCAAGCTCTGGCGCAGTTGCACAAGAACCTTTTGCGCTTGCAATGTGTTAAGCCAAGACTGGACTGCTGACTGAGCACTGCTCCTCCGTCGCAAGCTGTAGACTTGGAACTCGTGGGGGCACCGCCGCTGCTGCCTGGCAAGGTGACATCGTGTGACATCTTCCAGGGGCACCGCGGATCACCATGGTCACAGCCCTTTGCCATGGCTCAGGGCCGAGCTACTGCAGGCAGTGCTGCTCTGTCTGTGCGCTTCTGAGCTTCGTCTAGATAAGCAAAGGCCTTCATGCCGCTGCCGCAAGTGGGACTAGGCAAACTCTTCATTTTGGAGCTCAAAATTGTGTGATGACGATTGCCTGCGAGATGTAGCCATCGAATTCCGCTCGGCTGTGGCCACCTGCTTGGTCACTACTGCTGCTGCTGCTGCTGCAGCGTGCCTCAACTCTGCAATGCAGACCGGATTTCGCCTGGCACTTGGTCGACTGCAGTCACCGCTGAGGCATCAAGAACTCCCGAATCAACTTGCCGCTCGGATGCCAATTTGTTGAGATCAGCAGTCGTGGGTCCTTAGCTAGAAGTATGCGCTCAGTCCATACTGGAGATGCTCTGGCTGCTGCCTGCATCATGCCCTTTGACGTAGAGAGTGTCGCTGACTCCTAGCATGCGTGTCACTTCAGCAGCCCCTGAATTTGAATCTCACCGAGGCGTGAGATGATCCAAGCTTGGCCAACACCCTACCTCCAATGCCCGCAGGCTGAGGGTTCATGGAACGACGCCTCACAGCGCTGTCAATTTTGGAAACAAAGCACTAAATCACTCACAGCTGACAGAGCTGTGCAGTGTACAGGCATTGGTCACTGTTGATTCGTTTTGAAGGGGGCACTGCCATGAGGCGCATCGTGTATCATCTTATCCCTTGCTTGTGACAGCAACATGCGGCAGCCTCGGGGTTGCCTCCAGGTAAGAAGAGCCAGGCTCCTTCGAAGTCGTGTGAAGTTGCGGGGGATGCATATTGTCCTTCTGCTTGCACAAGTCCTCGATGCTCCTGCAGCAGAAGTCATAAGTCGCTTCAATGCAGGTTCTCAAGAACGTAAGAAGGCTGCAGTCGAGAAGTTGCAAGCCACCAAATGATGACTGACAGGCTGTCGCTGGTATTTGCATAATTAATTCGCTCATGCTGCCAATGCTTCAGCTGATTGCGCCGCAAAAGAATCAACCCCCAAAGAATGTGCGAATCTCGCATCTTGCTGCGAGCCGAGCTGTACTCGCGCATACATTGCGGAAAGCTTGGAATCCGAGACTCTGCAGCAGGTTATGCTAAACATGTTAGGAAGAGGCTGAATCAACGAACAGTAGAGCCTGCCAACAACCTGGCTCACGGTCGCAAGTTCTGGGACTGGCGGCACCTGCAGCAGGATGACAATGGTCGAAACGTTTTTCTTGCGCTTCGTCTTGCGTTTGTTGCTCGCATGAGACTCCTTTGCTTTTCGACTGATGTGCTGCAAACCTTACTTTTTCTGTGCGGCGTTGCGCTGCTTTGCTGCTAACTCTTAAAGCGAAAAACGCCAAAGAGCACGACCTGCTGTCCCGAGCATTCTCGGCAAGTCTGAGCATTGTGTGAATCCGTTTAGGAGGAGTAGACTAGCTTCGTGTGGTAGCATACGTCGCCGGGAAGAAAGCTTTGTCGCATCTACATGTAGCTACATGGCGCGGGACCCGGAGGACCGCAATGCTCAATTTGACGGGTCTGGCTAGCGGAGGAATTAACCAGCCGCGAGTAATATTATACTACAGTGCGGCGGTGTGGCAGTGGGGTGGTGTGATGATCGCGGTGGGGGTGTGGGGGTGGCGTGATTGTGGCGGTGGAGCGGGGGC